ATTATAACTAAATTAAATATTTGATTTGGGTTTGATATGGAAGCTTCATTCAAAATTTTTTCAAATAACCAAAAATTTAATTTGGTTTGACTGTCCGAACCAAATAAATGCCCAGCGCTACTCGCACATTAAGAATCATATAAATTCCGTATAAACGCAGACGCGAGAGAAGCCTACGGTGAAACATTCTTCTCCACCCCTTTCGGTCAAAAAAAAAAAAAAAATCCTTCTCCATCACTTTCTTCACTACCAAACATGGCTTCCAATAATACCATCAGCTTACCCAACGCAGCAAGTACACGTTTGTTGCCGGAGAAAAGTTCCCCTGATTGGGCTTATGTCACCTTGTTGGCTGGAAACGGAGACGATTGGATGGGCGTGCAGGGGTTGGCCGTGGGGCTGAAGAAGGTGAAGAGCATGTACCCGCTTGTGGTGGCCATCCTACCGGACGTGCCTGAGGAACACCGGAGGATACTTCAGGACTTAGGGTGCGTAGTGAAGGAGATTCAACCAGTGTATCAGCTCAAGAAATATGTCCAGTTGGCATCCGAGTTCCCCTATGTCGCCAAGTACTCCAAGCTCTTTATCTGGAAAGTGAAACATGAAACATGACGTGACATAACTTGGTGTTATTATTTTGTATTGACGAGGAATTAATTGTTTGCTTTGTCATTTGTCAGCATGTTTTGAATATGTTTTTCCGCAAAAGCTTGTCTGCATTCCCAGGATATATCTATGGTGCGTTGACCATGGTGGACGAGGAGAAGAATATTGATCATCTAGAGAAGGTGAAGGTAATACGCTACAGCTCTCCTGAGTTGAGGCCGTGGAGACGCACACCAAAAATGGGGAACGTGGACTTTGTGAATAAGTTGAAACGGAAGTGGAAGGATATTTGCCCTGGTCGATCGCTTGACTCCGAGAAACTAAAAATAGTGAAGACAGAGAAGTTGCTGAATTTTTCGTCTGCTTCTGGTACCAAATGAGCGAGGCGGAAACTAAATGCAAATTAGTAGTAAGTTGAAGGATTAGCTTAAGGATAATTATACATACACCCAAACAATCAACACCCAAGGCTTATGAGTAGTAAAATTATAAATTTACCTCTCTTCATTTTAGTCTCGAGTGTTGAGATGGGTGTTGATTGTTTGGGTGTATGTATAATTATCTTTAGCTTAATTATGCAAGTGTTGTACCTTTTTCATAGTAACAAGAATCTGCATTGACTGCAGCAGTGCTTGCAAGGGTACAGTGCACGAATATTATTATGATTTAAATATTTGTGATATAATCTCTCTTTTCTCAATTCTTTTACGTTTAAAAAGAAAAACAAAAAACAAAAATCCGCGCCTGCAGAGATAATAATTTTGTTAATATGTAAAATTGTGTTTTATTTGTAAACAATTAAAAAACATGTGTAGCAATTATTCATCCTTTTTGCTTATCTTCTTCTCCGTTAACACCTACATGGATTCTCCATAGGGGCTTCAATAGGGTTTAAGGGATTCGAGTAACGCCCTTCCTTTTCTTTCCTGTCGCTATCAAACTTGGCCTTTACTGATCCATCACTCTTACCCTCCCTCTGGTTTTCGTATATGATGCAAATTTGGAGTGGTGTTAGACATCTTCGACATGATTTTCGATGCTAACTTCTTTTCCGCCACCATCTTTTAGGAATTTCTCTCAATTACCGGTTTGGCATGATTCTCATTCTCTCCGGTAAAAGGACCACCAGATCTGAAGGTTTTAACTATCTCCAACTTGAATCTAGCACCAGATCTGGTTACCGATCGTCCACCTCTTTCTTCTGTTGATCTCTAGTCTCTCTCGCTTTCTCTTTTACTTATCTCATTCCCCTTTTGTAATTCAATCAATAGTTACCGTTGAGGGAGTCGCCCGTGAGAATGAAAATAAAGAAGAAAATAGGAGCAGAGGTAGTAAAACAAACAGTAGAAGAAAATGGGACAAAAGAAGACGAGGAAGGAGCATGGAAAATGAAACGGGGAAAATAAAGAATTTCTTATTTTACTAGAAGTGCTTTTTTTTTTTTAAATAGGTAATGAACTAGAAGTGCTTTTAAGTTTATTT